TCTCTCCACGTCATCGTCTCTGCCTCCTTCCCTGGTGTCACTGCTTCCCCAGACAGGATCCCGCACTCTGCTTTTCTCCCTTGATGGTTCCAGGGATCTTTGCTACGGGACTGCAAAATCAGCCACTCCCCTCCTTTTGTTACAAAATGTTTACATTTACCTTTCCAACAGTCATTGTCAGACCTGATAGCAATCATTACCTATTGAACCACAGGAGTCTCATCCCCCTCACCTTTTGTTAACCCCATCCAGACAGGTTGGAAACAACTCAGTGGAGGGTCCTGTACCCTCTGGACCTAGGTTCCCTATTGAAAGCTTGTAACTTCTTGCCCTTGTAGCCCCCCATTTTGGGTAGCCAATGTTTAAGTTCCCCATCCTTGTTGACCCTGTGTACCAAGGGGGTGGGAATGATCTTCACTGTAAAGATTTGGTCGCTCCTTTGTCATACTGCATCCACAAGCATAGGTCAAGTTCATCCAGTTGTAGTTATTTACTCTTTTTTCCTCTTCTTTCTTCCTCTAGTCATGTTCTGTTCATCCATCCAGCCAATGATGCCAGGTCAAGTGGGTACTGTCTGCAAGTGTGGTGTTCTTGTACATCTCCCCTCACTTCATATCATCAGCTGGATGCTTAGCACATATTTTAAGATAAAATGTTGACATGTTTTGGTTTTCTTACTACATTTTAGAGGAAATTCTTACTGTTAGAAGCAGTTGGTAAAGCTAATTATATCTTTTTAATATTTATTTTCAAAGGAAAGTTACTCACCCAGCTTTGAAGTTTCTGGGCCATGCCATGTTCTTCTCAATGGGATTTATAATTACAGTAAAAGGAAAGATTGCAAGTCCTTTGGAAGCACCAATTTTTGTTGTTGCCCCTCATTCCACATTCTTTGATGGAGTTGCCTGTATCATTGCTGGGTTGCCATCTATGGTATCACGTAATGAGAACGCACAAGTGCCTCTGATTGGCAGTAAGTACTTGTAAGGTAACATAGGATTTTCCTGCTTACAATTTCAGTTTCAAAATCACATCTAGCCTACTGGTATGCTTGTTAAGAAATTTTAAAATGAGACATTTCAAATGTATTTCCTCTTTTTCATGAGGATACTATACTGAAAGAATGAATTATGAGTAAAGGTTAGAGACTACCCTGCCAGTTCCTTATAATTCTTCTTGAAAATTTTCCTTATCACCGTACCATCATGTTTGTCTTTTCTTGTATATGACCAAAAAGACCAGTTTTCAAATACCAAACAAGTATTTCCAAATACTTGATTTTCTTGAGGGAGAAATTAATCAAAGATTTTGTGGGGAAAAACAACAACAAAACAAAACAGTTAACATGCTGCTTCATACATGTCTTTCAGGGTATTTGGCTGATAAGGGTACTGTGTCTTGTCTCCTAACTCTGTTTTCTTCATTACTGGCCTAAAAGCTCTACAAGGGATTAGTGTACAACTCCTAAAAATTATGATGTGGAGCTATAAATGTTTCCTGCCATAAAAAATAATGAGCAAGTGAAGTGTTTTCCCCACCAGATGCTTTGGTCTCTCCCTAAGGTACTAGTCGCTAAGTGACTGCTTGCCATTGTCCCAGGGTTACTGCAAACAAGAGTGTCTCTGAAAGTTGTCCCATGTTGCCTTGGTGCTCTGGAGAAATAATGTTAGTTCCTGCAGCTATGTCATTCAGCTAAGAAAGACCTTTTTTTTTTTTTAAAAAAAGTAACCACTTGTTTTGTGTAATATGACTGTTTCCTGAAAACCTGTGTAGCAATACATTTTTGGTAAAACTGCTTATTTTGCAGATGCAGTACAATTAATTGTGAGGCAGTGTTTCATTCTGCTATTGCAGATGGGGTTGTTATGAGATGGTACCACCTCTGACAGTAGCCACAACAATCAGATGTTGTGGTGAAATTTTCAGTAAAATGAACAGTAATTGCCTTATATTATGTGTACTCTGGTTTTACATAACTAGTTTTTAGGCTATTCCCACAATAAAACAAGATAACCTTGTAATCTCTTCCAATGGTTTAATGTCTATAGCATCAGCACTGGCCTGCTAACCACAAGGTTGGTGGCTTAAACCCACCAGTCACTTCTCAGGAACCCTATACAGGGTTGTTCTATGTCAGAACTGACTTGATGGCACTTAACAACAACAATGGCTATTCAGAGGAAAACTTTGAGGGAGAATTTTTTTTTTTTTTTTGTATTTGTTGCTTTTTATATTCTTACTGCTTACTTCTGTTACATCAGTGAATTTTTCTTACTTATAAATATTCACCTTCTGTTTGGAAACTGGCAACTAAGATTTAATGAACTTTGAACTAGAGGATTTTTTTTTACATTTGTTTTTAGTTTTATAAAAGTTGCTTTCTTTGATGTGCTATCATCGTAAAATTTATGATTTTCCCAGAATTATTGTCCTGGTAGCTTTAATAAAAAATCGTAAAAGAACTTGGATGTGACTTTTTGTTTGTTTTGTTTTTAAAGGACTTTTAAGGGCTCTACAACCAGTGTTGGTCTCCCGTGTAGATCCAGATTCACGAAAAAACACAATAAATGAAATAATAAAGCGAGCAACCTCCAGAGGGGAATGGCCCCAGGTAAAACAGTCGATATTCATTTCAATTAACGGAGAGTTCATTTTATAGTAACTTTGTAGACTTACATATCTGAATCCAGAGATCCAGTGCATCATACACTGATGCTAGGTGTCTTTAGCATAATGTTGTTAAGTGCCTCCAAGTCGGTTCCAACTTGTAGTGATGCTGTGTAGGGTTTCCAAGGAGCGGTTAGTGAGTTTGAACTACCTACCTTGCGGTTCAAGCTGACCTTGCAACTGAGTGCTTATCCTACAGCACCACACCAGGACTCCATAAAAGATGCAGAATAAAAGCAGTAGTGAATGCTAGGAAGTCCTCTTGTCTATGTGATGTGCCATGGGCATAAATATATCCTTTTTTATTCTTCCAACTCTGGGCCACTTTTTACTTTGTAATTTATATGAGAATTCTCCACCTTTGAGTCACACTATGCTTTTAGAAATGAGATGCTAATGGTCAGTTTATATATTCACTGTGGTGGGTTTACTGAAAATAAGCATTTAGGATCTTGAATGTTATCTGAAGTATATTTAGATGTTGTCAAGTGCCATCGACCTGCACGGGGTTTCTGATGGCTGGCTGGTGAGTTTGAACTACTGACCCTGTGGTTAGGAGTCCCGTGCTTCTCCTACAATGCCACACCAGGACTCAATACAGGGACATACCAGAATCTCCTGTAGAACTCTTTTAAATGGTATCTCACCAACCTCTTGCCCCCAGGATGACTTAGTACTTTGAGGGTGCAGGAAGGGACAACATTTATTGCATAAAGAAAGCCTCCTGGGTGATTTGGATAAGCACCTGTCTACCTTTGCCTTGTTGATCTCTAACAGAACCCCTGGCCTGCAGGAATCTGATCCCCCACAATGACGTGTAGATGATAAACTGCTAAGAGGAGTAGAACCAACGCAGAGGTTTTAGAAAGTCAGCTGGCTCAGGAATGCTTGCAAAGAGCTGACTTTCTTTATTTTTCTCTTTGAAAATAAGGAATTAGATGGAGATGTGGTAAATTGGAGATAACAAATAGAGATCAGCTCGTCTTGCTTATCTTTAAGAACTTTCTGTTCAGAAGTACACCTATCTGCTTTGGATTCCATTGTGGGAATTTTCAGGCATGGATTAACCACATGTGGGGGATGTTGCAGAAGGAATTCAAGCATTGGTGATACTATTGGACTTTCAATGCCCTTCCAACTCTACGATGTTATGACCCCTTTATATGCTACATACATTGTAAATAGTGTAGCTATAGAATTTTCACTTAATGATTAATATTTGATATTATCCTTTTTGTAAACTCACTTTTTTTTTTAAATTGGAAGTTGGGAATATATCTAGTCATAATTTTTATTTTACAAGTAATCTGGTACTGTGACAGTTTAGCCTAAGGAGCTCTGGTAGCGTAGTGGTTACGAATCGGGCTGCGAACCTTAAGGTCAGCGGTTCGAAACTACCAGCCGCTCCGCGGGAGAAAGATGAGGCTTTCTACTCCCGTAAGGATTTACACCCTCGGAAACCCTGTACAGGGTTGCTATGGGTCGGAATCGACTCGACGGCACTTAACAACAACAACAACAACTACTAAATACATATTACTAACTATTGTGAGTGCAAAGATTTTCTTTTTTCCTTCTCTGGTGGTGGTGGTTGTGTGCCGTGCAGTTGTTTCTGACTCATAGCGACCCAGTACAGGGTTCCCGAGGGTGTAAATCTTTACGGGACCAGAAAGCCTCATCTTTATCCTGAGGAACAGCTGGTAGTTTCAAACTGCTGACCTTGAGGTTTGTAGCTTGATTCATAACCACTACATGTATGCTTACTTATTTACTCTCTGCTAATTGTGTTTGAACAGCAAAGTCAGCGGTTCAAACTCACTAGCTACTCTTTGGAAACCCTATACGCACTTGTCAGCACTAAACAATTTCTAAAAGAGGGGCGCTGTGGCTCTGTGCGGTTAACACTAGACTGTGAACCACAAGGTCAGCGGTTCGAGCCCACCAGCCGCTTCATGGGAGACAGATGAGACTTTCTGCTCCCACAAAGATGGACAGCCTTGGGAACCGTATACTGGGACACTATGAGTTGGAAGTCACTTGATGTCACTTTAACTACAACAATTTCTAAAAACTTCATAAAATCCAGCTGCTATTTTATTCTGTTACTAGGGAAACTATCCTGTGTATCGTTTACATGGAAAACATGGGAAGTATGTTAAAAACTAAGCACAGTTTCTAAATAAAAGATACTAATGTATGTTCCATATGCCAAGTAGTCCAAGTAAATAATATAAAGCAAATTGTAAACATTTCCTCCTATGTCCTCAAATGTTATGGGAATGAGTATCATTTAACAGAAAACTGAAGCAAAGGCCTAGGAAGTGATTTGGTTAAGGATGTGTAGTAGCAGCAGAGAGAATTTAATACAACACAGCGTACACTTTGACCAGGACTTAAGGTCTCCGTATTCTTTTAAGCTTTTATAGATCATCAAGTGTGGCTCTGTGGGTTAATGCGCCAGACTGCAAAACCATTTGAATTGCAAGGTTGGCGGTTCAAGCTCACCCGCTGCTCCTCAGAAACCCTATCCAGGGTCGCCGCTATGGGTCGAACTGACTCAACGGCACTTAACAACAACAAGAAACAAACATATTCTCTATTCAAAGCTTAAATCCATTTTTAAATGATCTTATCAGTAAAAGGCTACACTTTTTCTTTTAGAGGAAATTGAGTAAGTTCTACCCTTCATTGGAATCAAATGTTAACCTTGTGTTGCATTTTACTTGTTTTTGAAGCACTAGCAGCTATTTGTCAAGTCACAGGAAAGCAAGTAAAGAAATCATCTATTAATTAGGCTCAAATACTAAATCTTTTCCTTTTCTCCCAAGATACTAGTTTTCCCAGAAGGTACTTGTACGAATCGTTCCTGTTTGATTACTTTCAAACCAGGTAAGATAAATTATATATTGTGACACACTACCATGTCTTTCTGTGAAATCATTTCTGAAATGATTTCACAGACATACAGAAGCAACTCTTGAGGTTACTCTGAGTGCTTCTCTTTTTATGATAAAAAGTTTTTAATGTGAAACCACGGGGAACTTATTCCTTTGCTTTCTCTTTTGGTATCTTTCCTTCGTTTCCTCTCTCTTGTGTACATGTGTTGGGCAGGGCCTTTAAGGTGGAGTGCCCAGAAACCACAGACAGATTTTGTTTCCTTGAAGAATATCCTAACAGACCCCTGGGGTCGTGTGTCATCAAGTACAAAACCTATTTCATTATCTTTATAATGTCTTTTATTTTTAATGTTTTATTGTGAATTATGTGATAGTTTACATGGGAGAACATTAGTTTTACACTCACCCTATCGTATATCGTTTCATTGCCATGATTACAATCCCCTCCATGCATCATCAACCAACCAAAGTATACCCAGCAAGCCTACACCCCGGTCGTCAGCACACAGCCCCTCTCCCTCTCTGGGTCTAAAGTCCCCAGCTGCTCTATCTCTCCAGGTCATCGTCTCTGCCTCTATCTCAGGCATCACTGATTTCTGGGTAAGGTCCTGCTCTCCACTCTTCTCCGTTGATGGTCCCAGGGACCTCCGCTCCTAGACTGCAATGTTAATCACTCCCCTCCTTGCTACAAAACATCTACCTTTACATTTCCAACCCTCACAATCAGTCCTGATAACAATGATTCACTATTGTATCACAAAAGACCTAACCGCATTTCATTTCATCAGCCCCGCCCAGACAGATTGGTTACTACTCAGTGGAAATTCTACCTTCCTCCACGCCCTCTGTATCTGCGTTCCCTCTTGAAAGCTTGTAAGCCAGTCACTTCTTGCTTTTGTAGCAACCCCATTTGGGGTAGCCAATGCCCAAGTTGCCCATCTCTGCCTACTCTATGTATGGAGGGGGTGGGAATGATCCTTGCTGTAAAGATTTGTTCCCTCTTTTGAGCTACTGCATCCATAGGTGTAGGTCAGGTTCATTAAATTGTATCAGATTATTCTTTTTTTCCTC